ATGGCGCAGCGGAAGCAGCGGCAGCGGCTTGAGCGCTCATGTCTTCGGCGACGGTGCCTTTCAGAAACGACAGGATGCAGAATCCGGTCACGTCTGCGAAACATTCCTGGATGCCCACAGCGGGATCCTTGCCAACATGTGTACAGAGCGCGCGAAACTGGCTTGAGCCATCGCCCGTCTGGCTGTCCATGGCAAGGATCATGTATCCGAAGGTGCGGAAATGCGCGGTGTAGATGGTCCGGTGCTCGTACCCAAGTAATTGTACGGGGAGTTTGAGCAGGTTGGCAGGGCATAGCAGCCGGATGGAGAACACTATCTGGGACACATAGGCGTCGAACAGACCGCGGAAGCTCGGGAAGCCCAGGCGCTGCGCAACGCATCGAAGGATCCTCTCGGTGTGTCGCGAAAGAGTAGGATCAACGAAGCAAGGTTCGAGAATGTGGTAATACCCTGAACGGCGCGTCGCAGAATCAACGATCGCGATGTTGCCCTCCGTTAGAAGACGCGTCAAAATCTTTTCACGACTATGGAAAATGAATTGAGCGATCGTAAACTCACGCAACGACAATGACACTGACCTGGATCCCAGTCGTGGCAGCATCCTTCCGATCGCCTCGTATACCCCCGCGATGGGTTCCGAGCCAGCACGCGAAACAGCAAAGAGATCAGGAACCAAGAGAGCCGCGCGGAAACGCACGCGGACATCGTGGTCGTCTGTTCCCGTCCGAAGCATCCCGATCGGATTCCACGCCTCGGGATCGTCGCCTTCATCGTCACTGTCGTTCTCATCATCCTCCGGGTGGTCCACATATGTTTTCCAGATGGTCGAACTGGGGTCCGCAGCGAGATAGCGCGCGCAAAACTGGATTTGAGAATCGCGAGCTCTCCACGACAGGAACAGATCATCCTCGTGCGCGATGAAGTTGAGGATGTCTACGGCGGCTTTGGGAACAGCGGCCTTACGGGTCCAGATGGGCAGTGTCGCTTCGATGAACTGTATAAGAAGCAGGTGAAAGGCCTCCCTGCACTTGATGGTGCGAGACTTGGACAACCCTGAGATGTATTGCGCCGTTTCCATGAACCTGGGGTACAGGTCCAGGTCTCCGTTGCGGACATAACAGAGGAAGGTGCGCATAGCCTCGAGGTGGATGTCGTCGAGATCCTTCTGGCCATGAAGCAGTACAACCTCGGTAAGCTGTTTGTCGAAGACCGGATCATTGGCTGGCAACAGCAGGCCACCATTCATGGCAAGAAAGCCTATGCAAAGCTCTTGCACGGTGCGCACAGCGGGAGTGAGATGTTTATCGGCTCTGATCGAGGTGTCCGGGAAGAAGTTCTCGGGATCCATTGGCTCAGAGGCCGCACCTGAACCCTTCAAGATCTGCTCCAGGACGGTTCGTAACGTCCCAGCAATGGTCCCAAAGGCGTCTTGCACCTGAAAGGAAATAAATCACGAAGCTGAGAATGGATGAAAGCGTGCCTTACATCGGTGCTGAGGGCAAGCTGTCTGATCAGCTCTTGTTTCCTAGCTGCCGCCTGCTGTTTGACGCTGTCGTGATTTAGGCCGAGACGCTCCAGAATCTCAGTCTTGATTCCAGAGCCAACGGTGGGAGTCAGCATAGCAAGGGGGAACGCATTGGCGTCCTCGTCTCGTCCCGTGGTGGTTAGCAGGGGCTCGAGGCTAAGCATTATCTGCGCAACATCGGCCAGTGGGTATTTGCTGTCCGTGGCAAGTAGAGATGTGACTGCGGTTGACAGCTTACAGGCAGCCTGAATCACAGGACGATTCGGTCGTGTCCCATTCAGCCCCAGCGCGGCCTCAAAGCACAGGGCTATGACTGCGAAGTCAAGCGCGTAGCGAGCTGAACCAGCGTTGAGATGTGTTCGGGGTGCACTAGCAGATTCCCAGTCCCACATGAGATCACCCAATCGATCAATCAGAAACCTGGATAGTCGCTGTTCTCGAGGCGTCTCCTCAGCGAGATCCTCGCCGTCAATAGCCCGCGAGGGGCGGACTGTGCGTTCACGTGGCGCGGCAGGCAAAACAGCGTCCAATATGTACTCGCGCACAACCCTCGTCTTCTCGAGACTAATCAAAGCTCGGACGATGACGCAATCGGGCAGCAAAGGACGGCAGGACACGTGCGTCCGCTCGCGCATGCCGCATATCGTCTGCAAGAGAAGCTGGGCGTCCTGGAGCAGGGACTGGGGCAAGATCACACCCCGGGGCTTGGGCCAGGACTGAATCAACCACGTGAGAACCTTGTCCTCCAGATGCATCCGATGAATCCGCGCGTCCTGCCTAGCGAATTGAATCGACTGGGAGAGAAAAGCGCAGACCGAATCGTAAGGGAAAGGGGGCCCCTGGATCTCCAGTTCCTTTGCGAGGGTTTGGATTCCATCTGCCAAATGCCGTGCAGAGACCAATGATGGGGCAGAGTTGAGGACAAATGCGGCGTGGCAAGCCGCGCGAGAGATCGCCGCTGTCCGGACTCCACGCAAGGCATGAGACCAAACTCTGTCCCAATCTGGCTGGTACGTCCGCGTATCGGGGTTCGGCGCCCGCATGTCGGCATGTGCGATTGCCGTGAGACACAGCAGCGTCCAAGACTGGATCAAAGGTGGGTCGGATGCATGCGTGCAGAGCAGTCTGCCAAACACCTCTTTTCGATTGTCGACATGAACAACGCTCCAGTGTCGCTCGATGAAAAAGAGGAGAACTTGCAGCTGGTGGGCGCGCACGTTGGGCTGGAGACCTGGATCTAGAAGCAGAAGAAGTGCATTCTCCTGCCTAGAGCGTTTCGTTCCAGGGTTCATGTATGTCTCCGAATGTTCATAAATCTACCGAGATGTTGAGAAAAGTCAAGTCGAAGGAGTAGACACGCACCTTCTGAACGCAATCTGCCTGAAACTCCAGGACAGCCCATGAAAGAGCCTGTGCGGCATCGAAATTGTGACCAGACCGTAGGGTCCAACTGGTAAACGCGCCAAGAGGACGAAACGCGCCGCAATGAACGATCTCAAGACGCAAACACTCCAGAAACAACCCTTCTGATCCTCTGTTGACCACCTCGAAATCCAGCGTCTTGAGTAAAGTGGATATATCATCAATCCAAGGGAAGGATACATCCTTTGGGTCTTGGTGAGTTAGATAAGGAAATAGAGTGCGGAGCACCGAAATGAGCGATTCGCCAATATTTGTCTTCTTGGTTCTCCACGCCTGGACTAGCAAAGCCCAGTTCTCGAACGAGAAACGCGTCACCTCGGTGGGACGATTGAGTGCCACGTGATCGAGGGTGGAAAGAATTGCCGTCAGCATGTCGTAGTAAAGAGAAGCGTCGACTGCATAGCACTCGAGAGCGCGCCCGAAACGAGTCAGAACTGAACTCGGAACATGGGCATACGACACGGCATAGCGGTCGTCGTCCCCGGTGACTTGATTCACAGACAATGGCGCATGGGGGGAATGAAGTAGAATGGAGAGAACGACCATGGCTTCGTTTTGAGCCCCGGTTGGTAACTCTTTGCGGCAAACTTTGACCGGCTTCAGCTTGTGCGTTCGATGCGGACGCGAATGGACGCGTTTTCGCTTCTTGGAAGGAGAGGATGACAGAGAAAGGCTCGAGTCTTCACTTTCCATCGCGGCATCCGAACTCTGCACCTCCGATTCGTCACCCTGCACATCGTCTGCGAACTTGCGTTTCATATCATCGGACAAAACGACATTGAAGCACATTTCCGCTAACTCGACCCACACTTTCTCCGTCAGATATTTCCCCTGGATTATCGGTTTGCATTCAAGAAAGAAGCGGTACGCCTTCATGAGGTCGAGGACAGGAGCGTCGGAAAGACGCGTGAGGACGAGACGGATCCTCGTATGCCACTTGGGAAAGTGTTTTGGAGAGAGGATACGCGCGCTTTTCCCGACGATATCTCGTAGACAGTTGGCAGCACTCTTAATCCTTTCTGGTGATTTCAAATCCTGGGTCTTTGACTCCCGGATTTTGGCAACATCGGCTTCTATGCTCTGGAGAATAGCACCTATGAGAGAAGAGCAGGATTCAGCATCCACTGAGATCCTGCCTTCAGCGATCAGCTCGCGACATCTCTTCAATCCCTTCGTCCTGTCCGTGATTTTAGTGCTTTGCAGGTCAGACGTGACACTGTGCACTTTAGGGTCACTTCTGCTGGACATTTCGGAGTCGAGGCATGTATAACAGTGAGGCTAAGGGAGAACAAGGAGGGACAAGTGGCAGAAGTCCACTGTAATAAGCCTGAGGAAGGTGTCACAAGTCTCTGTGATGCTTGTGACGCTAAGGCGACGGCACGTGGGACTCACGTGTGGCGCGAGTGTGATTTCCTAGTCCCTCGTACAAGGATAAGATAAAAGCACATGTACTTATGATGTAACCGACTGTCAACTCGATTCAAAAACTTTAGATAATTCCGCTCAAATTTTGGCTCAGACCAGTCTCAGACTCTAGCCTCAAGCTCCCTCAAGCTCGCCCCAATATCTGCGATCACTGCGTTCAATAATGATATCGAAAAAGGTGAAGAAACTCGAATGAGTGCCCTCTGAGAGGATTTGAGCTTGCGGAAACAAGATAAGTGATTCAATGGAAAGTGATCCGGTTATTTACCATTACAGATAGCTCGAAAACTGCTTGGCATCGGTCCCAGTCAAGAGTGAGATTGTGCTTGGGGAGTTGGTATGGTGGGAGAATTGATATCACCAAAGTTTTTGACAAGCTAGGTAGAGGACCGGCGCGGTCCCCATGAGGAATGATAGGGAGCTATACTAGATGCATGCTTCACTTGGGGCATTGAGTTTTCATAGTGAAGGCGAGTATGAGGCAAGAGTATAAAGCAAGAGTCTGAAGCGAGAACTGAGCAGACGTAATAGTCATTCGGATTTGAGGTGTGATGATCATGATGATACATATACATATGTCATGAGCTATAGATCTGACAACTGAGAGAAGTAAGCAGGGAAAGCACCTCGGCAGCTGTCCAACCATCTTGATGCAACAAGCGTCTGGTGAGGCAGCAGCGCAGCATGCACGTCTCATCCCGGGAACTTGGAGACAGGATTCGTCAGAGATGTACGCCGTGGCCTTGCATTGACAGATGGTTTGTATGCGGACGTTGACACCGGGCTGGAGCATGACAGCACAGGAGTTTGGGCTACTCGCTGATAAGACAGAACAGCTTGTCAATGTCTTCTGCCAGCTTCAAGCAAGAGTCGGGGATGAGTGATGGGAACGAGTTGCTCGGATCTTCTTCTAGCTGGATTGATAAATGTGGAACACATGGATGTGTTCAGTCCACGATCAGTCCGTTTGGCGACTTGACGTGCACTTCCTGCGACGGCTCGCGGAATGACAACGGTGTTACTAGCCTGGATGATATTGGTGTAGGCATGAGCGAAGAGAGCGCAATGTGTGCCATCAAATGAGGACAAATATTGATTGCAGTCGTGATGCGAATGGAAGCCACCTTGGCTTCGAACCTCTGTTTGGGACTTCTCTGGATTCGTGCCATCCCCCTTTTCCAGTTCCCATCTGTTGTACATCCCGTTTCGCCCGAGAACTTGACCAGAACTTTGTTCTGATCCTGGGTTCTCCTGTAACGGACGTGGCATGAACAACAGACATCAAGCGCAGGGTTATTCCGATCATCACACTCCTAAACTTAGAGATTCCACCCTCTCCACCACCTTCATCTCCCCGCGCAAGGCGCCCCGGCCTCCGTCCGACGTTCATTTCCCGGAGACTCTCTCGCCAGACTCTCGCTCAAGCACGCCCGCTTTTTCGTTGTCGGCGGTCTTCAATCGCAAGAGAAACCGTTCTGCCCCCCGTGCCCCTTCCTTGTATTCGACCTCCAGCGCCGCCACCACTGCCAGTGACCGTTCAAATCACCCGTATTCAATGCACGTCGCACCTTTACCAGTTGTGTCCAATTCGGAGATGCAGGAGGAGGAGGAGGAATGCCCTGTATGCCTCGAGCCCCTTAGTTTCAGCTTTCGTCTCCCGGGTGAAAAGCCTCACATTGTACCCGAGTGTGGACACGCACTGCATGAAGTACGCTTTTTCTGTCCCTTACCCAGGTTTTTGACTGTTTTAGGCTTGTTTTACGGCAGTGTACGGACCTCCCCCATCACAGGCTCGCTCGACGGTACCCCGCAAAAGCAACCTTGGCGTCTGTGGTGTCTGTCGCCGTCCGATGAAAGTGGGAGATGGAGATTCTGGAAAGTCTAATAGTGAGTGGGATTGCAGATAGGACTGCCTCAAATATTCACATGCGACGCAGAATTGGCTGCCTTGACGGGCATGGGACCTCGAGAGACCGGTGGAAACGTCTTTCCTGGCCGCGATAACGGTTCTGTTGCGGCACGCAACAATCGCTCTCACTCTAATGCATCTCGCCCCTTCGACCCGAACGCCGACGACCCAATCGAACTCCTCGGCCCTCAAAAGCAGGATCAGTACGGGAGCAACAGCACATATGTTGTGGCGCCGTCCATTCAAGTCCGCCCTGAGTTTTCGTCCCTCACTCGCACGTCGGACAGTAACCAGCCACTGACATGCATCGTGGTCATCGAGTTGCCCGGCAAACGCATCACTACCGGACCTGTTCCCGGTTCTGGTCCACCTCAGCCCCATTCACAGGCACAATCCCAGCGGTCTGGGCATTCATCTCCGCACCCCGAGTCGATTCGGCGACGCCGTGAACCTAGCGAAGGCAGTGCTTCCCCGCCCCAATATGCATCTTCGACATTGGATCCTGAGCCGGAGGAGTCCTCACCGTTCAGTGCAATTGCTGAGGATCTCCGCAGACGCACAATCGACTGGAAAGGGCATCCGATCTCAGACCTTGGCCCATTACACCTGTATGACCAACTCGGTGTTCGCCGGGACTCAGTCGTCCGGCAATTCTATGTTTACCTCTTTCGAGAGGCACTCATCTGTGTTTCAGAGGAAAAGAAGCGATCTCTCGGTCGGTTGTTGAGCAACGCATCGGATGGCTCCAGCTTCAGTAATGGTGGCAGTGCGACTCGAGGGGTGCTTCGATTGCGTGGTCGCATCTTTGTCTGTCACATCAAGCATGTGACGGCGTCTTCGTCGGCCGGCGAGATGAGTCTCACAATCGACATGGAAGACGACCTGGCTAGCTTCATCTTGATCTTCAAAGAACGGTCGTCTCTGGAGGCATGGCGCAGCAAAATTCAGTCTCTCATTGAGACGTCGCCGAATCACAATTCATCACGGCAGCGACAGGAAGAACAGGAACGAATGCGGGAGAGGGGATTGGACATGGAAGAGTTCGGCGGAAATATCAATTCCAAAGCGATGAAGATGTTGTCTGGAGGCAGCGGCACCACGACCAGCACGATGGACAGCAGCCTCTTGAACGGGTCAGTCCGCAGCACGATGAGCAGCTCCACGAGCCACGGCAGCCTCCCTCCACCTAGGGGCGGTTACTCTAACAAACTCAGTCCTTTGGGCGAAGACGACGAACACAGCTCTCACGGTAGCGCCTACGACTCATCTCCTACAGGTCTGGTCACCCCGTACACAAGTGCAGGACCCAGCAATAATCTTGCACCTGTGGCCCACCCTTCCATTGATTTGATTCTTGTCATATCTTTACCGCCGCCAGGTGCTGCGCCGTCCACTGCTGCACTCAAAGTCCGAGTTATCCGCACAACACTCGATTTTGTCATCGCAAGCCTTGGGCCGAAGGACAGACTCAGTCTGGTTACCTTTGAAGTGGGTCCAGGCGGTCGGGTCCGAAAGACGCCTTTCTTGAGTGCTATGAAGGGCAAAGACGGTCGGCGACGGCTCGAGAGATTCGTTGAGAGCATGGGAAATTCGCCCGGTGAAGAGGACGAGTTTTTGGTGAGAGGGAGCAAAGAAGAGAAGACGGATGTCGTGACCGCCGTCAACCATGGTACGTTTCATATTGACCATCCTCGTGTACGGTCACTCATCTTCATGTAGCCCTGGATGTCGTGCTGCAGCGCAAGGCCAAGAACCCAATCTCTGGCATGCTCCTGATCTCCGATGCCGCTGATTCGACTCGTCGCGCCCAAATGGATCTCGTTCTAGCTCGCGCTGAAGCTGCAAATGTCCCCATCCATTCGTTTGGCTATGGCCGATCCCATGACCCAGCTTCGCTCTGGCTCATGTCCAACCACACTTCTGGCACCTACACTTTCGTGAAGGATTGGTACGACCTGAGAGACTGTGTCGCCGGTTGTGTCGGCGGGATGATGTCTATTGGGCTTTTGGGAATGAAACTGCACATGAAGATCGTGGATGGCCTGAGATTCAGGATTCGCAAAGTCAGCGGGGGACCAAGCAGCATCCTTGCCAGTGACGGTCAGAACGTGGACGTCGAAGTTGGAGAATTGAGATATGGGGAGCGCAAAGAGATGTTGATCGAGATGGAACTCGACAACAGTGACATGCAGGCAAAAATGGCGGCTATGCGCATGAGCCAGCCCCAGAATAGTCGAGCTGGGGGCGCACAGCGGGCCATGAACGCGACGGATCAGTTCGTCGCAAGTATGGGCTTGGATGCCCTTGCCATGGAAGACGGCCCCGACTTTGCTGATGGCATGATGGATAGGATGATTGACGAAGTACCCGTTGTTGAGGTCGACGGCTCGTTTTTCGACCCTGCAGCGAGCAAGCACGTCTCACGACTCGCTCACCCTGTTCTCCTTACCGTCACATTGCTGCCAGCTCAGAACCCAGGGCAATCCCCCTCCTCGGCAGTCTCCGACCCCATGATAGTCCGGCGCCGAATGGAGCTCTTGACGAGCGACATGATCACCCGGGCTCTCGTCCTCGTCAGTCGGCGAAACTTCCCTCAGGCTCAGAAGATCCTGAGCGAGACCAAACGAATTCTTCACACCGTTCTTACCACCATCAGCCGCACATTGCCTGCACCAAATGCGACAGGGAGTGGAACCACCCGAAACCGTCGCGAAATTCTCACCCTCGCTGCGGTCCGGTGTATGCAAGCCATGCTCCAGGATCTAGCCCTTTTGACCGAAGCTCTCGAGGAGAACGTTGAGTTGTTTGCTCACGACCAACGCAACTTCGGGGCTCAGCAAGCGATGATTCTCCGTGATCAAAAGAGCTGGACGGGCCGTAGTGCGACGGAACGGCTCTTCTGGACAACTGACAATTCAATCGAGCTGGTCTCCCGAAGCACTGACTGGGTTGCCCGCGAATAGCGATCCCCCTTTCGTTGGAATTCCAATTTACATAATCCGCTTGGTATCTGTCCTGCTTTGTATCCACAGGTCGTTTTCTGTGTTATCTTATTACAAGTCTTTCCTTCCTACTTTGTACATATGTTTCTGTAATCCACGTGAATGCACACTCCTTTTGTTTTCTCCCATCTGGATGACGACAAGATCCTTCCGAGAGCATGCGATTGAAGTATTTATGATGTGATCGCCATCTTCACTTCCCCCACCATCCAGTCAAGGACAACCCCATGCCTCGCCAAATCCTTGATAATGCGCTCGCCGCAGTCGGAAACACCCCTCTCATCCGTTTGGACAAAATCGCAGCGCAATGGGAATTGAAGTGCAACTTGCGTGCGTTGCTAGTGCGCAATGATTTACGTGTGCCGACTTTGACACCTCCACAGTGGCTAAAGTAGAATACATGTCGGTCGGAGGCTCTATCAAGGACCGTATAGCAAAGGCCATGATTGAGGCTGCCGAGAGGGAAGGCAAACTGGTTCCTGGTCAGAGCGTGATCATCGAGCCGACGTCGGGAAATACAGGTGGCGTGGACCTCGCTTAGATCCCCTTCCCCTGCCACAAAGCTGATTTCAATGCAGGCATTGGAATGGCCATGGCCTCAGCCATAAAGGTGGGCAATTTCCATGGACGATGCACTGTCGCTGAATACAGCAGGGGTACAAATGCATCATAACTCTCCCGAACAAGATGTCTCTCGTGAGATGCAGGTCGACATCTTGATGGGACATCCAAAACTCATGCCTCTTCAGGAGAAGGAAGCCGCTCTGCGCGCATTGGGAGCTGAAGTGGTTCGCACCCCCACGGAGGCTGCGTGGGATTCCCCCGAAAGCCACATAGGTAGTGCCCACATTGCGGTTCCGCACTCTCGTGGCTGAATTCCTCCACGATCTCAGGTGTGGCCAAGGCTTTACAACTCGCCATTCCTGGCGGGATCATATTGGACCAATATCGTAATGTGTGTTCTCGGGCTCTCCCGCTCCCATGAGATTGAACGGGTTTCTAGGTGAACAATCCTCTAATACATGAAACCACGACGGGACCGGAGATCATCGAAGCGGTTATATCTACGCCGTCAACCGAAGCACATCCGTCCTCGTGCAAGGTCGATGCAGTCGTGTGTGGTGCTGGGACGGGGGGAACAGTGACTGGCGTCTCCCGCGCAATGAAGAAGACCCATAACAAGGACTGCGTCGTTGTTGGCGTCGATCCTGTGCGTGGTTCAGACTCGTAATCATTCCCTACTTATTTCTGTTCAAGCACGGAAGCATTCTAGCTGTGCCCAACGACCTCAACGTCCAGGAAGAAGGATCCTCTTATGTTGTCGAGGGAATCGGATACGATTTTGTTCCCGACGTTCTATCGCGGGATGATGTGGATGTTTGGATCAAGACCGGAGACGAGGAGGCATTTGCTGCTGTCCAGGTCTTGATGCGCTCCGAGGGTTTGCTGGTGGGCGGAAGCAGTGGTAGCGCGCTCAGTGGGGCAGGCAAATGGTTCAAGACAGACGAGGGTCGGAAGATTGCACAAACCAAGGGTGCAAATGTTGTCCTTGTTCTTGCCGATGGGTGCGTCGCAGATCTTCTTTCAGCGAACAGATGATAAATTTCGGAAGGATCCGAAACTACATGAGCAAATCGTGGTTCCTTGACATGGCAATGAAAGCGGAGCCATCCGAGCTTGCGAAGAGCATTGCTCAAGTTTTGCAGGTAGAGGCGAAGCACGGGGACTAGGAAATTGCATAGATGACTACCGAGATTGTTGCTTGAAGCATCTAGAGATGAATCCAAGGACTACAGGACTTATTAAAAGTGCATGGCCACAGACAGGAATTTTGAACTGCGGAATAGATCAGCATCAGCATGGCGGTGATTTCCTGCCTAAATTTAGATATGCGTCCGAACCCTAACCTCTTCTTCCCCATTCAACTCCCCACGAACAACCACGACACGTCGATGGCGGGCAAGTCCATACCGCGTTTGCGACGACAAGCGCTGGCGCATCATCAAGAAGCAGAATACGAAGGACTTCACCAGGAAGACCATGTCGCGGAGGTGTATCAGAACCCCGTTAGTCTTTACATCCTACGCGCTCTTGCGCGCGCTGACAGCGAAACACCAGAATAACCGCCATCCTATCGAGAGGCTATTGGAAACCAAGCGGGCCAGCATGATTGTCATTGGTGTCCTGACTGCGCTCGCCTTTGCGCTTCGGTTCTACAAGATTAACCAACCTGACCAGGTAGTGTGCGTGGATCGGTTCTAACTTCTTCAAGTACCACCTTCTCATTCTTTTTCACCTAGCTTCGACGAAGTGCACTTTGGAAAGTTTGCCGCATACTACATTCTTCGCGAATACTACTTCGATGTCCATCCGCCCTTCGCCAAAATGCTCTTCGGACTGGCGGGCTGGTTCGTTGGTTTTGACGGCAAGTTCATGTTCGAAAACATCGGCGACAGCTACACGGCAGCCCACGTCCCCTACGTTGGCATGCGGGCCCTTCCCGCTATCCTCGGCAGTTTGACCATCCCTGTCGTGTACGCTACCATGAAGGAGTGTGGATACTCGACTGTCATTGCAGCGTTCTCTGCATCTCTTGTTCTCTTTGGTGCGTCTTCTGTTTCACTCTTGGAGAGAAGACATTTGTTCATTTATTCTTTCCAGACAACGCCCACATTGCCCAGTCGAGACTCATCCTTCTTGACGCCACCCTCATTTTCTTCATCTCCCTGACCATGTATTCCTACATCCGCTTCAAAAAGCTCCGCTATTGGGCATTCACACCTGAATGGTGGACGTGGCTCATTTTGACTGGCGTCTTCATGGCTTGTGCTTGGGGCTCCAAAGTCAACGGTATCCTGATGGTCTTCACCATCGGTTTCGCTGTCATGATCGACCTCTGGGATATCTTGGATCACAAAAAAGAGGGCCACACCATGGTGAGAGTCGACTTGCTTGGTGTAACATCATCACTCACTGTATGGATAGGAACATTTTTGGAGACATTTCTCAGCCCGGGCCGTCGGTCTCATCCTCGTCCCCTTCGTCATCTACCTGTCTTTCTTCTGGATTCATTTCGCTGTCCTCACGAAATCCGGTTCTGGAGACACCTTCATGAGCCCTGCATTCCAAGAGACTCTGAATGGAAATGAGATGTTGATGAACAGCCAAGGTGAGTGTTCCGTTATCTGGCTTGGATTTCGTTGATCGTTGGGTGCAGAGGTCAAATATTTCGACACTGTCAACCTGCGGCACAAAGAGACCAAAGTATACTTGCACTCACACGTGGAGAAGTATCCCCTGAAGTATGATGACGGCAGGATCAGTAGCCAAGGTATTTCGGTCTCATGCGCGGTTGACGACATCTTCTAACAATAACTTTCTAGGCCAACAGGTCACGGGTTACGGGCACAACGACACCAACAACCTCTGGCAGCTCATTCCAACTAAGGCTCTGCCGGAGACAGGCCGGGGCCGGTACTTGCGTCACGGCGATCTCGTCCAACTGTTACACGTCAACACGCAAACTAACTTGCTCAGTCACGATGTCGCCTCGTCTTTGATGCCGACAAATCAGGAGTTCACAACTTGGCCCAAGGATGACAACAGCCGTTACAACGACACGCTCTTTTATATCCAGCTCATTGATGGACACGACGGCCAGGTGGTCAAGACGAAATCCGGCCAGTTCAAGTTCATCCATGCTCCCACCAAAGTTGCCATGTGGACACACACAAAGCAATTGCCGGAGTGGGCCTTCAAACAGCAGGAGATCAACGGCAACAAGGCAGCAAGTGAGAAGAGTGCGACGTGGTACTTCGAGGAAGTCGTGGCTGCTGGTGAGTCGTGTTCGCACGTCACACCGACAAGGTTCCAATCAAGTGCTTTCAGAGGGTCCGGATTACAGTGATCGTATCGGTACATCTGAAATTCAGAAGCCCAAGTCTATGAACTTCTTCAAGAAGTTTGGGGAGCTCCAGCTTCTGATGTTACAGCATAATGCTGGTTTGACGGCATCTCATCCCTATGCCAGTAGCCCCATCAACTGGCCGTTCTTGTTGAGTGGTATCAGCTTCTGGACCGAGAGCGAGCCCCAAAAGCAGATCTACCTGATCGGCAATGTAGTGGGCTGGTGGTCGTGTGTTGTTGGGTTGTCGATATATGTGGGTATCCTGGGTGCGGACTTGTTGGCTCGTCGCCGTGGCCTGGATCCCATCCCTGATCGTGCGTCTGGTCTCCATTGCTTCTAAGTTTTTATTGACGATCTACTCTCAGCTGTGCGAAATCGGCTTTGGAATACCACTGGCTTCTTTATGCTTGTCTGGGCGGTCCATTACTTGCCCTTCTTCTTGATGAGCCGCCAGCTGTTCATCCACCACTACCTGCCATCTCACCTGGCATCTGCCATGATCACTGGATCCGTCCTCAGCTTCATCTTGTCTGAGACGGTCAACTACCCGATATCCGTCTGGGGCCCCAAGACCCGGGCACGTCCCAAGCAATACGCGGATCTTGGTATCAAGGCACCCGCCATCTATCTTGCATTCACTGTCGCGCTACTCGTCGTGTTCATGTTCTTTGCTCCCCTGACATATGGTACTCCGGGGTCAGTCGCGCTTGTCTTCTTGTATTCGTCCGCTGATGACCGGGAACAGATTGACTGGCGAGCAAGTCAATGCACGGAGATTGCTTTCTACCTGGACTCTGCACTTCGCAGCAAAGGTGACCTCCGACGTAGTACTATAATTATTAGGAGGCCTGCGAATCAAAACCTTGCATTTGTATATAATCTTTCTCGCTTGCGTTGGGAATCGTATTTATGTTTAGAATCTAGTAGCAGCAACACGTGAGCCAAAGATGTCTGGACAGGATGCTGCCAGGCACCCGTTCTCTCCTAATTTCAAGAGACAGACATAGCCTAAGCCACGACCACCCAGTAGGCTGCCATATGTCCGAGAAGAGTCCCAATCCATTGTGCCGTCCCAGTTGGAAATCCAAATCCTATTCTCAATCTAACTGTGTGACTGGAAGTCACATCGTGTTCGAGCCACGTGCATTTCAAACTCCGCTGCCTTTATAAGGCCAGTCGTCCGCTTAACTTTTCTTCAAGTGTTCGACCAACCTCTGGCGCGTTCGTCCTTACAGACACAGACGTTCACTTGTCTGGTGGCGTTATCTGCCTTGTTGGCGAAGCGAAGCGTTCCCTCGGGATGCTCACGAGACCGAGTCTGGTTCGTGCCCTCTTAGTCCACTTCGGTGTCGATTTTGGGTGTGCGAGCTGGGCGGCGTCATATTCCTGTACCTTCCGTACTCTTGCTACTATGTGGTATTGACGGTTGGGTCAAACCATGACGCAGACATCTGCTCCTTCGACTATTTAGTTTTTTCTGTACTTGATTAAATTTAAAATATTTTATCTACCAACTTTCTTGTGAGCTGAGATCCTTCTCGTCATAAGAGTAAGTACTCTTCGCGGCTTTTTATACGTTGTGTAGATGCGCGTCCTGCACCTCCTTCAACTGAAAGTGCAATTGGATTGTCAGATATTGTTTGTGCACGCTTGAAACCCTCATTCAAGACGACCAACGCTCAACCCTCTCGTCGCGTCTTTCGGACGCGTCACTCGCGACCATACCTCTGGCCGACGCACCCCAATCATGTCTGAACTAGCTCTCCACGTGGCTAGCGCCGAAGTGCTCTCGGTATGCCAGTCTATGAACGAGGACCTGGAGAGCTTGTTGGATCCAGAGACCGGATTTGCCCCGCGGCTGAGGCAGATATGTCATGACCAGTGCGTTCCGTATTGTTGGATTTCTGGATTCTGAGCACATCGTTGCTGCAGACTTGTGGATCTCGAAGAAAACGGTGATGGGCAGACTACACAAGAAGAACTCGACCTCCTTCGTCTGGAGCGTGATACATGGGGCCTCCTTCAGGCTGTTATGCCGTGCGTAACACACTTCTCTCTGCTCTCGAGAACACCTGAGAACAAACGGTCCATGCTGATAGTGCACGAAAAACGGAACCACCACCCACACCCACGGCACGCGAGTTGCTCCGCGAAAATCCATACACACCTACCTCCACCCTTGCTCAAGCCATCATGCACGCGTCCCCACTTCTCTCCGAACTGATCGCCGTGCGAGAGTGGCTGCAAGACACCGCACCAGAGCCGACGCACCCTGAAGCCTCAACGGGGTATTGGAAGTTTACGAAGCACGGTGTGATGCAGGGGCTGAGGATGGGCGGTGTGGTGAGGGACGGTTTGATTAAGGAAATGGACCCAGATGCTGTGAATCGAGGCGACGGGAGGATGTTGGCTGCAGATGACACGGTGTGTTGCTCTTTCCTTCTGATTCAGAGTGCTCAACAAGTTGTGTAGAACTACGAGAAGGGGCTATCGATAGCTCTTTACTCCTACATCCGTGCAGGACGTCTAGAGGATGCGGTGGAGCTCTGTAGGAAGGCCCATCAACCCTGGCGGGCTGCAAGCATTCGCGGGTCTCTCCTTTTCCGATGGCCAGCCATTTGTAAGTCATCTGAACCCCTCTGGAATACTAAAGTAACCGCCTTGTAGCTGATGAGCAACTGGAGGATGAGTCCATGGAGGAAGATCTTGTGGATCCTTGGGAGGGGAATCGCAGACGTCGACTGTGGAAGACGACGTGCACCCAAGCTGCCATGAATGTGTGTGTGCACAGTCCGTGATACTTCTTTGAAATTCACCTCTCACAAGCCTAATATTTCGGAGCACGAACGAGTCGTGTATGCAGCTCTTGTCCCCACACCCCAGACATCCGTGGTCCT